CCGTCAAATTCCCATCATTCATTAGTCTGCCGATTATCAAGTTAGTCAGACCCTCACGCGATCATTTCACCGTCAACTTCCCATCATTCATTAGTCTGCCGATTATCAAGTTAGTCAGACCCTCACGCGATCATTTCACCGTCAACTTCCCATCATTCATTAGTCTGCCGATTATCAAGTTAGTCAGACCCTCACGCGATCATTTCACCGTCAACTTCCCATCATTCATTAGTCTGCCGATTATCAAGTTAGTCAGACCCTCACGCGATCATTTCACCGTCAACTTCCCATCATTCATTAGTCTGCCGATTATCAAGTTAGTCAGACCCTCACGCGATCATTTCACCGTCAACTTCCCATCATTCATTAGTCTGCCGATTATCAAGTTAGTCAGACCCTCACGCGATCATTTCACCGTCAACTTCCCATCATTCATTAGTCTGCCGATTATCAAGTTAGTCAGACCCTCACGCGATCATTTCACCGTCAACTTCCCATCATTCATTAGTCTGCCGATTATCAAGTTAGTCAGACCCTCACGCGATCATTTCACCGTCAACTTCCCATCATTCATTAGTCTGCCGATTATCAAGTTAGTCAGACCCTCACGCGATCATTTCACCGTCAACTTCCCATCATTCATTAGTCTGCCGATTATCAAGTTAGTCAGACCCTCACGCGATCATTTCACCGTCAACTTCCCATCATTCATTAGTCTGCCGATTATCAAGTTAGTCAGACCCTCACGCGATCATTTCACCGTCAACTTCCCATCATTCATTAGTCTGCCGATTATCAAGTTAGTCAGACCCTCACGCGATCATTTCACCGTCAACTTCCCATCATTCATTAGTCTGCCGATTATCAAGTTAGTCAGACCCTCACGCGATCATTTCACCGTCAACTTCCCATCATTCATTAGTCTGCCGATTATCAAGTTAGTCAGACCCTCACGCGATCATTTCACCGTCAACTTCCCATCATTCATTAGTCTGCCGATTATCAAGTTAGTCAGACCCTCACGCGATCATTTCACCGTCAACTTCCCATCATTCATTAGTCTGCCGATTATCAAGTTAGTCAGACCCTCACGCGATCATTTCACCGTCAACTTCCCATCATTCATTAGTCTGCCGATTATCAAGTTAGTCAGACCCTCACGCGATCATTTCACCGTCAACTTCCCATCATTCATTAGTCTGCCGATTATCAAGTTAGTCAGACCCTCACGCGATCATTTCACCGTCAACTTCCCATCATTCATTAGTCTGCCGATTATCAAGTTAGTCAGACCCTCACGCGATCATTTCACCGTCAACTTCCCATCATTCATTAGTCTGCCGATTATCAAGTTAGTCAGACCCTCACGCGATCATTTCACCGTCAACTTCCCATCATTCATTAGTCTGCCGATTATCAAGTTAGTCAGACCCTCACGCGATCATTTCACCGTCAACTTCCCATCATTCATTAGTCTGCCGATTATCAAGTTAGTCAGACCCTCACGCGATCATTTCACCGTCAACTTCCCATCATTCATTAGTCTGCCGATTATCAAGTTAGTCAGACCCTCACGCGATCATTTCACCGTCAACTTCCCATCATTCATTAGTCTGCCGATTATCAAGTTAGTCAGACCCTCACGCGATCATTTCACCGTCAACTTCCCATCATTCATTAGTCTGCCGATTATCAAGTTAGTCAGACCCTCACGCGATCATTTCACCGTCAACTTCCCATCATTCATTAGTCTGCCGATTATCAAGTTAGTCAGACCCTCACGCGATCATTTCACCGTCAACTTCCCATCATTCATTAGTCTGCCGATTATCAAGTTAGTCAGACCCTCACGCGATCATTTCACCGTCAACTTCCCATCATTCATTAGTCTGC